AATGGAAATCCAAAATCTCTGTAAATGTTCATTGAAATTAATTTTAAAAAAAAACAACCAGTGTGTCCAGTGGACCTTGAACTAATGACCTGAAAGGTGAAAACAACTGACAGTGACTCACAGGCAGCAAGCAGGGGGGTTGCCAATGCCCCTTCACTGAAAAGACCTCAAATGCTGACAGTTACAGGGTGTTGCTCCCCGACCCTACGGCTCCCCTCTGAAGTTCCCTTCCCTCGTGCTGTCCTCCATCTACATGGAGGGGAAAAGCACAAGGTCCTTCTCACCTCCCGAACTCTGGCATCTTGAGGACTGCTTTGGTTTCCTGTCTTTCTTTAGACTGTGAAGGTGCTGAAAAGCTGGGCCCAGGCGAAGGGCTGCTGAGCACCACCACAGAGGCCACCATGAGGCCAGACATCAGTACGCCCTGCAGGACCGAGCAAAATGCCGGACTCCCAGGTCCCAAAGCTACAAATGACCCGGGGCTGGCACACTGCCTTCAAGCAAACCCGTGGATTCTGACTACAGGATTTTAGTAACTTGAGTTGTTCAAGTCTGAAGCCCAATGTTATCCATGTTCCTTTAAAGCCAACTTCATGTTTCATCTCCAACAGCAGGCTGCCCCTGAAGTCCTGTGAATCGCCTCACCAGAAAATACAGACAAGCTGTTAGAGGGGCCCTGTTGTGGCAAATATCTAGAAAGGGTCCCGAGTTCACTGCCTCTAACCTTTACCCACACGTGCAAACAGAAAGGGGCAATGAGAACAATGATTCCAAGACACTGTCAGCCAGTCAACGTCTGAGACTCCTGATTTTATTTTAGAGCCTTCAGCCATGGATCTTCTCCCCCTAGGATCCATGCAACCCCCTGGTTCAACTTGCTTCTCTGAACTTGAAGAATTTCTGCAGAAGGAAATGGATGACCACGAGAAAATTAGAAGCAACACTGATGAACAAGACTTGTGGAGTAACTGCTTAAAAGGAACCAAACCTGGACCAACTTCCACTTAAAATATGCAATGTTATTAAATAGAAAAAACCCAGAAAGGACCGGAAATAAGGCACCGGCTCAGTAACACTGTGTAGCCGACAGTGACCCCCGCAGACTCATCTCCATCCCCATCACTCAGGCCGCACAAGTGCTTCCTAGCACTGGGGTCCTGGGGTCGGGGAAAAGGACGCAGAGCGGCGCCCTCAAGCCACGGGGCTGGAAAAGCTAGCGAGCCTCTCTGGGTCCTGGTGCTCAAATATGCATTTTAAAAAGGGGAAGGGGGAATTAATGCAATTTAACCAGATACCAGAATACACTTGCATGATCTTAAGTATTCATACAATTGGCTAGCCTTCTCTTAAACGAGAAACTCTAAACTGCAGACACTCTAAATGTTACGGCCTTTGAAGCAGCAGCTGCCACGAATTCTACAGCCAGGAGAAATGGATGCTGCCAACAACCTGAGTCAGCGTGGGACCAGACCCTGCCCTCAAGCTACGGATGAGAACGCAGCCCTGGTGCCACCTTCTGAGGCACCCACAGACACTCTAGTAAAAATAAACAGGTATTGTTTCAAACACCATATAAATGCATAGAGACCAAAGCCCAAAATCACTGCTACTGGGTTGATTCCAGGTCCAGCAACCCCTCCATCAGGTTTCCAGGGCCGTGAATCCTCACGGGAGGGGACAGATTGCACACCTTTCCTGGGAGCAGCTGACAGAGTCAAACTGCCAACTTTGCAGTTTGTGAGACAACACATAATGTCCTACCCCATCAGAACTCCACTGCATATATAGTATATGAATTCATTTTATATATGTTAATATGTAAGATGCATAACAAATAAAGTAAAATTTAATAAAAATATACATAACTGTCACCACTGGGCCAAGTGGCAGCACCAGGATAGATGGAGAAGAGACTGAGGTTGTTAACAATTACAGCTTGCTCGGCTCCACAACAATCAACACTTTTAACACCAGCAGTCAGGAAATGAAAAGATGAATTCCATTGGGAAAATCTGCTGTCATGGACCTCTCCAGAATGCTGAAGGGCAACAGTGTCAGTCTAGAGACTAAGGTGCGCCTAATTCAAGTCATGGTCTTCGCAATTACTTGCTATATGTGTCAGAGAGCTGGACAATGACTAAAGATGACAGAAGAACCGAAGCCTTCACATTGTGGTGGAGAAGAATCTTGAACATACCATGTACCCGTAAGAAAACAAATAAGTCTGTCTTGGAGAGGGTTAAACCAAGTTTCTCGTTGGAGGATAGAATTTTGAAGCTCCATCTCACATACTTTGGGCATGTGGCTATGAGAGACCGGTCCTTGGAGAAGGACATCGTGCTCAAAAGCGTGGAGGGACAACACAGGAGAGGAAGACCCTGATGAGATGGACTGATACAGTGACTAGGGCAATGGGGATTGGTGTGTCGGAATTAGTGAGACTGGCTCAGGACAGGGCAGGGCTCAGAAGTGCTGTACATAGGGCCACTATGGGTCTCAGGCAACGTGACAGCACATAACAACAACAAAGTATGTAAAATCAGATTAACTTTTAATTACACTTATAAAATTAATTTAACTCTAGGGGGGCAGGGCAGGGAGAAAAGTGCAACAATGAATGAATGGAAATCCAAAATCTCTGTAAAT